CGGCTCATGCGGTAAGGAGCAACTAAAAAGAGTTGGGTGCCAGGTTGTAGGTCTATAGTGAACTCAACTTCCCTGTCCACTGGCAGCCCGGGCAGTTCGTCCGGAAACACATCTAGAAAGTCTTGGACTACCAGAATCTCTTAGATACAAATTTCCTTCTTGGGCTTGCCTAGTTAGAGAAAATAGCAAGGTTAAAGTACTTGAAAATTAAGGAAACTTTCCATCAAGGAATAAGTATCAAATAATTTTATTAATTTGTAAATGGCTCCTCATTAGTAGGATTAAATACAACCTTCTTGTTAAAGCAATCTATGGTGGTGTGATACGCCGCTAGGCAATCCATCCCTAAAATTACATCAAAATCCTCTGTGTCTAACCCTATTAGATCTACACTCAACTTCTTATTTGCTATCTCCACGGCACAAGCCCTATAGATAACTTCTCCTAATAGTGTTTCACTCCCAGCAGTAGACACAAACAACATTGAATCAAGTTTATCAAGTGATACATTAAGTTTGGATGCAAAAACATGTGAAACAAATGAATGCGATGCACCAGTGTCAAATAAAACATGAGCAATATGGTCATAGATAGTGTACATACCCTGTACCACGTTCGGGTCGGTGTCGGCATCCTACTGGGTGAGGTTGTAAACCCTACCCTAAAAAGGAGGTCTTCCTTGGTTCTGGTTCCACGGGCACTCTCTCGCATAGTGCTGGGTACTACCACATATGCGACAGGTGTTGTTGAGGCGATAGCAGGGTCGGTCTCCATGATCCCTGCCGCAGTGCTGACAGATCTTGCCACGTGCTGCCCCTGGAGCCTGAGGGGGAGCCTTGATCACCGGTCTGGGCCTCTTATTTTGTTGGACAGGCGCAATAGGTGCTGGTATGCGGGGTGGAACTGAGGGTCTATGACTCCCTGATGACTAGGAAAGGGTGTTGAAACTCCTCTTCACGATCTGCGCCTTTGTCAGAACAGCTGAATATGTCTTGAGCTCTAGTACCAACAAATGCCGCTTGATCTCTGGGCGGAGGTCCCACTGGAACCTCCTGGCCTTTCTGCCCTCATCCATCAGTGTTTTAGGGGAGTATCGGCCCAGCTCTAAGAATTTACGAGCGTATTCCGACACTGTCATGTTTCCCTAGACTAGCTGAACAAACTTCATCTCCTTTAAATGTCGGATGTGCTCGGGGAGGTACTCAGCATGAAAGGCTGCTAAGAACTGCTCCTAAGTGACAAACGTGGGCAGGGTGGTCTGCTTGAGCTCCCACCAACGATCTGATTCCCCCACTAGCATGTAGGAAGCAAGAGTAACCCTCTGCTCAGGAACCACTCCTAAGGTCTTGAAAGCCTTCTCTGTCTCCGCCAACCAGTACTGGGCATTTTCAAAAGAGGACTCCCTTGCAAAAGTAGAAGGGTTTAATCTCCTATACCTCTCTACGTAGCCCAGGTCAATCAGGGAAGGAGCTGGGTCACGTGGAAGAGGGACTGGGCCGGGGCTGAGGATAAACTAGGGGGCCCTGTGGTGGCACCTGCTGATATAGTGGGGGCACCGGATCATACTATGGCGGGGCCGGACAATATTGTGGCTGAGGCACCAGATTATACTGCGGCGGTGGTACCGGGTGGTACTGTGGGGGAGCAGGCTCTTGTTGGGGCGACTCGGGATCCGTCCGCTGTAGCGGTGGCTCAAACTGTAATAGTGGGGGAGGGTTGGGTAATTCCCTTCTCTCCTCTCAACCTTGTTGAGTAGCCATGATCCTTTCGAGCATCTCAAATATTCTGTCAACATCCTCCCGAAGTGAATCATCCCGGGCTGCTCGGTTTAGTGGAGGTCTCCCTCTCCTTATCTCTCTGCACCTGCATTTCACAAGGAATGGTTGAGTAATAATTCTCAGTTTGGTATTCCTCTAAGTATTATTGTGTAAGGGACGGGTCCAAGGAACGTGGCTCTAATACCAACTGTAACGGCCCCGAAAATTAAAAAAAAAATGTATATATATTTATTCTAAGTGCAGAAACGAAATAAAACAAATTATGATTAACATCCCTTACACAATAACCAAAACGAATTAAAGTATGAAAGAATAAACTAACTTAAAGGAAATACTATGAAAGAATACTGTAAGGAAAACTAAATAATTCTTTTGCTTCTACTCGTCGTCTTCCTGCAGAACGGGCTCGGGAACCAAATCCTCCTGATCTAAAATGGTTAAGTAAGGAATGAGCTACACTAGCTCAGTAAAGACATCACAGTATCTCACTATCACAGAAGTAAAGGTTGGTAGAAAACGAAAACGACCAATAGAGCATAATTTATACAAACTCATTTATCAATAATAAAATCCTTTACTGTCCACCTATCTCGGTGAGATTCATGAAAATAATTTATGAAAACAATTACATCATAAATATTATAAGATCACGCACACTCTGCAACATAACACATATCATGCTTTTGTATTTCAATCATCAGGCAACAATTATTCCATTTTATTCAGCCTACTAGTATCCATGGGGATCTATAGGGGGTCCCTGTTACACGTGAACCACTCACATTAATAACTTAATTCTAGGGCCGTCCCCATAACCCGTCCGGTATGGGCGCCAAAACCATAGACCTCAATACCCCGTCCGGTATGAGGGTGAAACGAGCCGTCCCCATACCCCGTCCGGTATGAGCGCCAAAACACATAAAGTCTCCATACCCCGTTCGATATGAGAGACCATGTTCCAGTTAGGGTTCCCTATGGACCCGGTCCGTCCACCATCTCCCAGGATATCTAGTGAAGCTGTCGACATTATCCATTATCAATTCACATACCTTTTTACTATTTTTTTAAATCTCAATTATCCAATCAAACACAAATACGTAAACCAGTAATGGACACCAAATAAGGTAACACAACATCGAATTCACAATAATTCAAAGCATAATAAATGAGACCGTAATTCATGCATATGAAACCATAGAATAAACACATCAGACACCATACTGCATTGAAAACTGTAAAATAAAACAAACAACACCTGACCGAAAATATATCAGATTCGGGCTCCATTAGCAACCTTAATCAATTATACATATCTATTAATTCATAAAATATCGTTTTATCATTTATTAGGCTTTAATGCCATGATAGGAAATAAGGTGAGAGATCTTTACTTGTTTCGGAGTCTGAAATCGGGTTCTCACTGCGCCTATGGGCAGTCCCTAGATTCCCTGAATTTTCTCCAGAAACTGAAACACACTTCCGGTACCTGCACGTGTCCCCAAAAAATCCCAAATCAGACCCAGGGCCCTTTCGGCCAATATCGAAATTCCGACACGGCGGTTTCGCTGTGCTCCGGTGATGGTGCCACCGCCCGCGGCGACGATCTGCCTTGGGTTGGCCGTTTCTGACCGTATTCGGCCAAACTTGCATTGGTTCCTGTGATAAAACACCTCTAGGGCCCTCGGTGGGCCAAAAAATTTCAGAAAACTGAGACTTACTGGTGGCGAAGCTCTCAGGTGCGGTGGCTCCTCCGGCGCGAGTTGTGATTCGGTGTTTTGCTCCAGTCAACCTGTAGAGAAAAGGACGGTGGTCACAGTGGTATAAAAATTACATCGAACGGGAAACGGGAAGGGCCTCATCGGAGGCAAAAATCGAGGAAACACGCGGCGGCACCGCTGGACTTCGACGGTGTTTTCCAGCCAATCAGCTGGTGGTTTGGCTCCAATTTGGCCACAGGAAGGTTCGGCATCGAAAAACGAGCAAATGGGAGAAATTTTACCTTATTTGGCGGCCTCCTGTGCGGCGGCAGGTGGCGGCGGCCAGTTCCTCCTGTGGCTGGGTCGTCTTCTTCGTCGAGGGTTCTGGTGGCTAGGGTTTGAGTTGAGTGTGGATGCGATTATTTATAACCCTCCCCTTTTAATCTAAGCCTTCCATCATGATTTAATCTGGGCCGTCCGATCGCGATTAAATTGAGAATAAATCTGGACCGTTCATGCATGATCAAATCTAGGCCGTCCGCACGCGTGAGATTTGGGTCATCCACGTGCGCCTTTGATCTGGGCCGTCTGTGCGCGCGAGAACAGATCTAGGCCGTCCGATCGCACGCACACGGATAGTCAACGTGTCTCCGTTCCGCGTGGCTTCCCGCGTTAGCGTCCCTGCCACGTGGCGTGTCCTGGTTGGCAGGGGCTGGTGACGTGGTACTATTTTTCTAAATTGCGTTTTGACCCCTGATTTTCGATTTTCTTTTCAAAAACACCCCCAGAATCCAAATTTTCACTCATTTTCTTTAAAATCAATTTCAATTAAATCTCAAAAATATTTTTACCCTATTTTATTATTATTTTTATTTCTATTTCTATTAATTTAAATTAAATTAAATTAAAACCTTATAAATTAAATATTAAAAGAGAATAAAATTAAATAAAAATTCTAATAAAATTAAAATAAATTAAAAAAATAAAAATAAAATAAAATACAAATTTTTGGGTGTTACATAACCACCTACAAATCATTACTAAAGCTATATGTTAGAAACAATTCTATAAATTTTGAGGGATTTATTTTGTAAATCTATATTTAATTCAGTATGAGCATGATGCAAATTCTCCACTAAATTAAGAAAATAATGTGAAATTTTTAGTTTATAAAACAAATAATAAAATTAAATGTTCATAATGAATATTAAATACTAAATACATTACATAGAATAAACAAAAAAAAAAATATTTAGCAAGGTGGGATGGACACTTGAATGAAGTGGATGGAATATGTCTTCTGTCCCTATGTATGTAAATATTTATAATAAAATATTAAATACTAAAAATCAAAATGATTTTTTATTTTTATTTGTTTTTTTTTTAAAAAAAGGGAAACACGTTTGCTCCAAAACGCTACACTTTAACATTTGTAAACATGTAATGACCAACTTGCCCCTCCATTCCGTTTGCATTTACTCGCTGCAGTCACCTCGCCCAGGAAGACGCGAATGGCGGTCTTTCTCTGCCTCATGTAATCTTCACTTGCAGGTATTTTCATCCACTTAGCCTGATTTCCTTCTTGTTTTTTCTCAATTCCCCATTTTCCCCTTAAAATGATCACTTTGAGAACCATCAATCCATTAATTTCTTAATGTCTTTTTCTTCTCATCGGAAATTTATCCCAGCTCAGCGCCAGTCAAAACTTGAACAGATATATGCAAGTGAAAAATAAATTTCAGTTCCTATTTTCCTTTCGATTAGTTTATTCTCAATTTTTTCTTTTTAATTTTTTTTTTTGGGATGCAGATTTTCATTTGATAGGTACGTTAAGTAGATTGCGAAATGGAGCTGGATTTTGTTACGGCTAACTTATTGGAAGAGGAACCGGTTGAAATTGAAGAGAATAATCATGTAAGCCTTCGTTTTATCACAAGTTACTGGTTTCTAGGCCTACCTTAGCGGTGATGCTTGAGGGATTCTTGGCCTGACTCCTACTTAATTATTTTATTTCTATTTTTCTATAGTAGAAAAAGAGATATCAGTACTCAAGAAAGAAAATTCTATTATTTCAGAAAAATAGTTCAAAGCAGAAACAGCTGTTCAGACTTCAGATACTGTTTGTGATTTATGACAATTATAGATTTTTGTGGAAAAAATTTTTATAATTTGCAGGATCTTTCTAATATTGAAGGTGAAAGATGTGGAATATGCATGGATATTATCATTGACAGGGGTCTTCTGGATTGCTGCCAGCATTGGTATGCACTAAGAACCCATATCCCTTCCTTTTGTTCCTTCTTGTCTTTTCTCCATATTTTCTAATCTGTCATAGGATATGGCTGGTGATTAAGAACTAGGTGTTCTGGATAAGCCTTTATGAAACTTTGGAGTATTCTTAATTGTTATTGAAAAGTCTCTATTTTTAGTTTTAAAATGCTTGCCATTTGCATATGTGGATATTTTATTTCACAGGATTTCCATGGATATGCAATGCTTTGACTTATGGAATTCATTGGATGTCAACAGCTTTATTCTGTTTCAGAAATTATTTTCCTGTGGCACATTGGATGTCAACAGCTTTATTCTGTTTTA